CCTGAGGGCCCCCCGCAAGGCCCGGAGCAAGAGCAGGCCTAAGGTAGGGGGACCGGGACCCAGGGTGGTGGGGAGCGCCTCGGGGTGTTGTTCCGCCTGTGGGAGGGAGGGGGGTCGGCCCAGCGGCCGGTCTGTCAGCGCCGGCTGCCGTTTGTGGCGGGGCCGGGGCCCCTGGGGCTCACGGGTACTTTCAGCTTTAGATTCAGAGAATCACAGAACGGTTTGGGTGGGAAGGGACCTTAGAGACCATCGAGTTCCAACCCCCCTGCCGTGGGCAGGGACACCTCCCACTAGCCCAGGTTGCTCAAAGCCTCATCCAGCCTGGCCTTGAACCCCTCCAGGGATGGGGCATTCACAGCTTCTCTGGGCAACCTGGGCCACTGCCTCACCACCCGCACAGGAAAACATTTCTTCCTGATATCTAGTCTAAATCTCCCCTTTTTCGGCTTAAAACCACTACTCCGCGTCCTATCACTACACTCCGTGTTTGTTCATTCTCTTCTGCTGGAAGCAGTTGGGTCAGGGGGTGTGTGTGTGTTTTCTTCTAAAAAGGTGTAAATGAGCTTTTTATTCTCATAGTGGATGGCCTTGTCAAATAGCTCTGCGCAGCGAGACAGCTGGAGTTGCATCTGCGTGAAGCAGTGGAGCTATTGGCAGTTAGCAGTGTTCTAGTATAGTGTGGGGTGCCAATCTTACTACGTCTCGTAGGTATAGGTTTGGCTTTGAAATGCTCAAAATGTGAGGCCGTGTATAGCAGACAGCATTTGTTCTTCATTAGTTGGTGCTGCAGTTGTTGAGTATCGCCCTTCCTAGGTTTTAAACCTGTTGTGTGTGTTCCTTGTTCACGGTGTTAGTGCCGACAGCCTTCCGAAGGGTTTGCTTTGCTTGCAGCTCTGCTTACACAGAGTTTCAGTTGTTTGTGGAAATGATCTGAACTGAAACGTCTCGCCTCAGAGATGGGTCAAAATGGAAGTGTTTCCCTTCGTTGTTTATCCTCTACATGGTGTAAACTGCACCACATAGAGCAAAGGCATCAAAGTCATGGCTGTCAAAGCCATCTGAAAAGAAATTAGGGGATTAATTGGTCACTGTTTTGTAGAAGAAGGGTTAGATCCAAGTGTCAGCTGCAGCTGTGATTCTTAAACTCAAGGCAAGTAAAGATTGGAGGGAAGAACAATGCCAGAAGAGTAAGTGTGTTATTGTTTTTGTTTTGATTCAGCCCTGTAGCATGTGCAAGGCTGTCAAATCTTAAGACTTCTGTTTAAGAGATTCGGTTCCCTGCAGGAAGGTGGTGAGTCACAGATGACACTGGCAGTTCATTAATGACTTGTTTACGGTGACTCCAGCAGCAGTTTTTGGCTGGAGGTGGTTTTGGCTGTCCCTTCCAGGTGTAATTCATTGTGAAACAATTCCCTGCCCCTGTCACGTGTGAGGATCCATAATTCTTCAGTGTTGCACGTGACCCATTCCTGATATTTTTTGTTGCTATTTTTATGTTCAGCTCTGTTAATAGGCAGGGGTGTTTGAAGCTGCAGTTTGGGGCTCCGCTGCATTAAGGCCTTTTCCATTCCCATGCCTCGGAAACAACCATAATCCTTTGAAAAGTTGAAATTCTCGTGAGTTGGGAGAAAGGCTCAGCTGTGGAGCTGCTAAGTAGTGAAACAGAGCCCAGGGCTTTCTGAAAATAGTAGCCCCAATGTGAATCTCATCCAGCACCAATAACACCAGAGTGATCTGAACACAGTGAGGTGGCAAAACCAGTGAACCTGGAACTGGTGAGGGTGATGCTGTATGTCTGTGTGCATTTCGGTGGGTAGCACTCAGTTACTCCAGAGATGTTTCTGGAAAAATAATTGGTGTCCTTAGAGAATGGTTAGGCATGGGACAAGGCTAATGAGCAGGCATCATCTTTGGCTTAAAGGCCAAACCTGTAGAAAAGAGAAGAGCAGGTTTTGCTTTCGTGTTAATTCAGAACCTGATTGCTCTCATCCTTTCTCAGATGAAATCCCTGTTAATGGTTATGGCCTTTTTTTTTTTTTTGCCTTGGAAAGTGAAAACTGGAAGACACTTCATAAATTTAAAAAGCAGCTATTTTATCTGACAGTAGCATTTGGGCGGAATACAGAATGCTACCAAGAGATAACGGGAGTTTCATCTCTATGAGGACTGCAAGAGGGAGCTTTGAGATTGCAGAGGTGAAAGGACCAGCATGTATTTGTGAAGTGTGTGTTAGATCAGTGAGACATCAAAATTATAATATATTCTGTTATAATAATGTAATAGTGATACAGTATCCTGTGGAAATTACTCTTTGAGTTAATTGTCAGGAGATGTTTGTTATAACAACAAGTCCTGGTTTAAAGAATTTTGCTGATCTGTTTTTAACCTCTCACCTGTAGCTTTAGCTAGCCTTGGAGTGTATCGAAGTGTGTTGTGGTCAGATGTATTACAGCTTTTAATATATGGGGAAACATAGTCTGAAAGCAGAGAGAGCATGTTGCTATCTTATAAAGAAGCTGTGAGCATATGTTGGAAGTAAAATTAGGCTTGAGATTGAGGTAGGCTTGATTTTAGCTGTTTTTGTGTATGCGCAGTCATAAGGCAAAGTCACCTCAGATGTTTAGTGAAAGTGTATGTGATGCCACCAGGTTTCCAAAGGTATTGTCATTTCCCCAGTCATGGAGGAGCGTTGAGAACTTTACCTAATTTCATCTGTGTTCTTTGTTATATTATCTGAGCGCTATATTAACTGTAGCGCTCTAACCTAACTCTTCTCAGTTCTGCTTATAATAAACTGGTCGTTACACACAAACAATTTACAGATCGGCAAAACACTTGGCCAATTTCTTGTTTTACAAATTGGCAAACAACTTACAAATTGACAAAATCTTTGTTGATTTCCAGTGCAGCATAATTTCCCATGCTGTGCTTTGGGAAGGAGGCTAGTCTACACCTTAAACTAGGTTTAGGGGAAATATTTTCCCCCAAGCTGATGTTAAAAGGGGATAATCGGTTTACTATTTTGATATCACTGGTAAGTTTTTCTACATCTCTTGTGTGTAATATCTCTTGAAATCAGGTATTTCAGTAATTGTATAGCTGTTGTGATGGTTTTAGAATGTAATTAGAGAGTACATTCCAGACTTTCTTTGTTGTGAAATTACTTTTTTAAAAATAATTTTTAATTCATTAAGCTATTTCTGTAAAACTTCAGACAAATTGCAAAGTAACTTTTTTGTAATATGTTGAAATCTAGTACCTCTTTTAAGAGGTCAGGGTCCTGTTATTTTGATTATTTTATATGTTAACGAAACATTCTGTCCTGTGGTGTTCATAGCTTTTAGTTAGAAACGTTGAAGCATTGTTCAGGAACTGACCAAGAAAATAGACACTGATAGACAGTCTTCAAAGGGCAGATAAAGAACAAGGATCTGTTTGGTACATTTGCTTTTACCTTTAATATTATGAAAACTAATGTGTTAAGAGGGGCTTTTGGAGTTGTGATGTTGACAAACACTAGTTTTGGTGATGGTGGAATTTGGGCTGAAAGAGGGAGAATTTTACTTGGTAGTGACACACTGTTAATTTTCTTTTTTTTTTTTTTTTCCTAGGAAAAAAAGAAAAAAAGTAGTGAGGAGTCCCTGATACAAGAGTATGATGATGTCTTCCTCCCTCCTGTGGCAGAAGTGTCTTCTCAAGCCAGTAAAGTGCAAGTGGAACATCCTGGAGAATTTACAGAAATTCGTCTCAGTGATGAAGCAGAGGATGGAAAAAGTGTAAATGCTGTGTGTGACATTCCCCACAGTCATTTAACTTCAGTAAATGAAGGGACTTCGACAGTGGCTCTAGAGCCTTCCCCAGATGCAGAAGAATTCAAAACCTATCCTTCCCATGAGGAATGTGGGGGGGATGTTGAGAAGAGTGGAAAAAGCAAGTCGGACAAACCTCACAGCTCTGTGGAGGTGGTTGCTAGTGGATCAGGAAATCCTGATTTATTGAGTAGTACCTTTCATTCCAGTGCTGCTGGCTCTCAGGCAGCAGTGAGCTTTGTACAGGACAAAGAAACAGAAAATGCACAAGATATTAAAAATCCTCTTGTCTGTTCTTCAGAGAAGCTTCCTCTTAGTATCTCACAGCTCTCTGAAAAATCCAAAATGCGTATTCAGCGTCCAGGATTGAAATCAATTTATCCAGACTTGTCTGTTGAATTATCCTATGAGAGACCAACCGTAATAGCAGTTAAACCTCTGTTGCACAATGAAAGGCTGTATCCAGAGCTCCCGACTGAGCCAGAACTGGTGCCATTTACCAGAGAACAACTGAAAATTTTTGAGCCATGTTCATGGTTGGAGAACGTTGACTCGTACGTGGAGGAATTTGAAAGTGTTGCTCATCAGGAGAGGCATGAATTTTATGAACTCCTCCTGAACTACATGCGCTGCAGGAAGCAGGTGTTGCTGGCTGAGGCAGAGCTGCAGACTATGACCACAGACTGCCAAAATGTGAAGGGGAGATTATGGACTTTTAAAGAAGAACAGAAAACTGTGCAGGTGCTGTTGCTGAAGCTGCCTTTGAACTCAAACTATTTAGATGTGATTCCAGGTGTTAATTGTACTTGCTGTGAAGTTTACCATATCGAAGCTGTTTTGTTCTAAAAGAGATTATTGCCTTTGCTTTCTGTCTCTCTGCTGACCCCCAGTACTTCAGAGTGTCATCCTGTTGAGATTTAAGACTGTTGCTTGATTTTTAAACTCTGAGTGTAGGGTAGTGGGATCTCTGTTAGTGATCTCTTGGAGTCAGACTTGTGTTTGCAGTCACTCAGAATGAGCTGGGTGCAGCTGGTTCTACCTGCAGGGCTGGGTGAAGTTTGTCCTGCGGTATTTCAGGGGGATGCAGGGGATACATGGTGGAGTAGGACTTCAGAATGACTGTAGTGGTGATGTCCCATCTGGCTTGCTGCCTGCAGTGACAGATTTCATTGACGTCATTCCTGACTGTCCTGCAGTCACAGGTGGCAGTTGCAGAGGAACTCGAGTCATGCTCGTGGGTGACTCTGTTGCTCAAAGCGTGGGGAGTGTGAAGTCCATCCACTTTCAGGAGCTGTTGCTCCGTAAGTGGTGCTGTGGTTTTAGTGGCTTCCAGGATTGTCACAGTACCCTGCAGCATCGCTGTCTGCAAACTTGAGGGGTCTGGAGAGCTCTTTGGTGCATGCATCAGAAAAATTTTTTCCCCCAAACTCGTTCTGTGTAACTTGTTTTTGGAGCTGGATGTTATAGTGGAAGTGAATGGAATATTCTGGCACTCTGATGCTGTTTGTAGCCAACACATCATTAAAATTGTCCAAGGGTGCTAAGTCCTTCTGTGCGTGGTGGCTTTTACTGTTGTTTCTGTGAGTGCAGTGCCTCTCCTGTGCAGTTCCTCAGAGTTGAGACATTGAGAGACCTCCACTGAACAGATCTGAATCTTTTTCTTTTTACTAGGGAGTAACACTCAGCCTCACTGGACTCTGTTTTGCGTTCATCACTTTCTACACTGAAAGCAATTGTGGCTTCACTCTTACGTCCCCACTGGGCATCATAGAGTTGGCTAAGCTTGCTGCTTGCTTTATTCCATCCCCATTCTCTATGTGTTTATTGTATGTCCAGAATAATTGTTAACTTTATACCAATTTAAAATTCTTATTATACTATCTTGGGAAACACAGTGATGCTTTCAAGCTAAGCTTCCAAAGTGCTGGCTCTGTTTCCTGGTTGCATAAAAAAAATAACAGGAATGTTATGTATTGTGATTTTCTTGTGCTGAAAAGTTAAGAGAGAGGACAGAGGAAGACTGGCTTCAGCTTTTAATTCCAGGTTTGGAAGTTAGAGTACCGTTCATTTCTGAAAAATTTACATGTACAATAGGGAATTGCTATAAATATTCAGTTCTGAGAGCTTAGAAAAATATTTATCTTGTTTCAGTACATATTTTAGCTTTAAAATAGCAGATCCAAATATTTATGGAAATCTATAAACTGAGAAGCAGTTGTGCTTGCTTGGAGTAGAGAAACCTGATTTTGTTCACAGCTGTCAGTGATACAGAAAAGTCACAATGTCTGTTGCTAAAACTGAGTTATTGAGGGTTTTATAGAGTAATTTATTTCAAAAGTCAGGGATATGAATCTTCAGTAATCAGCAGCTCTAAAAAGTATGTAGGATATTACATCATCTTTATCTTTTCCACCTGTGAAGTGACCCCTTTTATGAAAGCTTTGAAATTTGTTAAGGGGAGGGTTATGCCCAGGTTGATTTCTGTAAGCACACTTGGCCCAGCAAAATGACGAATCCACTTAAATAAAAAAATTGCTTTCTTTTCAGGGTGTCTGTGCGGATCAGTGCAAAGTGACAGGTCACCATCGCTACCAGACAGTGAAGCTGAATGAAAGCGTGCTGGGAGAGCTGAAAAAGCTGTTGGAAGCCAAAGCAGAGCACGTGCATCAGACACTGGCACTGCACTTGTACACTTCGGTGTTGTCCCGCTTGCAAGTGGAGTCATACGTCTACAGGTTGCTCAGCAGCTCGTCCCTGCTGAGATCGGTGGCTCTTCAGCAGCAAGAACAAGGTGTGTTGCTGGTCCAGACCGCTGCCCGTGCTGTTTTGGGTGCCCAGCAGCTTGTTCACCTGCACTTCTGGAGTCTTATGGTGGAATTTGTATACTGCAGTGTTTCTCCTCTGATGCTAAAATGTGCTGATCTCATGTAGGGATCAGTGAAACCTTTTTCTCACAGGAAGAATTCAAATTCTCTTAGTTTATTCACTTGGAGAGCAGAGGCTGAATGCAAAAATTCAAATTCTCTTAATTTATTCACCTGGAGAGTGGAGGCTGAATGCAGGAGTACCTTTTTCTGTCTAAACTGCATGCTGCACTGGTTACTGTAGAGGAACAGTGGGTGGGATGGGACACCCAGACTCCAAACTTTTGTTGTCAAGTGTAGAATACAGTCCCTTTGCCAAACTGATTATGCAGGTATTTTTCCTGCTTTATTTCCTCTTGAAGGTCATTTGAAATCTCACAGCTCTAATACTTGGAAGTCTTTTTGGTTTTTAGCCTAAGCGTATTACTTGGGTTTGTGCCTATATAATCTTTTAGCTAAAATATTCCTCCTGCTCCCACTCCAGATATTTATCCTTCCTAGTTTTCCTCCCTTTGTCCTGCAGTCCCCAGATGGTTTATATGCTTAGTAAATGGTGGTTCTCAAAAGGCCTTCCCTCAACATAAACCTTTTATAAGAGTAACCATAGTATATTCTTCTTGTATTAGCACTCAGTGCTTAATTATAAAATTAAGTAAAGTTCTCTAAGTAAGTGTTCTTCTTTGTCAGATTTAGCAGGCAGCTGTGTTGAAATATCTGGATATTTATAGATAGAGAGAGCAAGTTTTCTATACAGCCCCAAAACCACTACTTATGCCACTACTCTGAATGCTACTCATCAAAGCTTCTTAATTCTGTTTTTAATTTACAGTTTCAAAGCAGTCAGAAAATCTTTCTTCAGACTTGGGCCACTTGAAGGAATGTATCAGCGTCCTTTTCAGCTTCACACGCAGAGTTATTGAAGATCCTCAGTTTCAGAGTGACCTTCTCATGTGGCTGCAGAGACTGGTGAGGGAGTAAGCATGGATGTATCAGTTTGATCCAACACATGGGATGAATTTGGGAGTAATTTCTGAAAGTATTACTGTTTCTCTTGCTGTCTCACATGCAATGATTTTTCTGGGGTTTGTTTTACTTGAGGATCAGAATCTGTTAGTGAATCTTTAGAATGAATTCCCTTGTCTAATGAAGTCAGTGGAGGTCAGCAGCATTAATAAGGGATTGCACCTGAGCAGCCAGCACTGCTCAAAGTGGCCTTAATATTCATTATGGTTTTACTTATTTTGAAAGTAAAATTATTCAGACTTGTCATTTTTTAGAAACTTCTATTCTGGCTGATTTATAAATAAATTAGTTTTTAATGCAATTGTAAAGTAATTAATTTTTCAAGGAAAGTGGTTTGTGGCTCATAAGCAAGCAAGTGGACTTTTAAATGTTCTTCTCCTTTAACTTGTTCTGAAAATTGATGCTTATTATAAAGCATTGGAAGAGAAATAAAAAAAAAACAGTATTACTCTAGTTAGCAAGACTATAAAAGAATGAGCCTTGAAATTGTTTACAAGATTCCAATATATTTCCTTTTAGGTGGCAGTGTTGCAAAGAATTGGCTGTCCAGGTGACCATCTGTTCCTCTTCAACCACATCCTTCGGTGTCCGGCTGGGATCAGCGAATGGGCTGTTCCGTTCATTCAGGTGTGAATGTTTAATTCTTTATTGTTGGGAAGTTGGAGTGAGAGTGGAGTGAGTCAGAGAGGAGAGTGTCTTGTGCCTAGTCATGGAATCATGGAATGGTTTAGGTTGGAAGGGGCCTTAGAGACCATCGAGTTCCACCCCCCTGCCATGGGCAGGGACACCCTCCACCAGCCCAGGTTGCTCAAAGCCTCATCCAGCCTGGCCTTGAACCCCTCCAGGGATGGGGCATCCACAACTTCTGTGGGCAACCTGGGCCACTGCCTCACCGCCTGCACAGGAAAACATTTCTTCCTAATATCTCGTCTAAATCTACTAAATCTATGAGATCATAATCTATGAAACAAGTGAGATTCGAGGCAGCTCTGTAATGTATAAGGGATGACGAAGAACAGATTTTTGTATCCTGCATGTTGAAATGGAACTGGTTTCCCTGGAAAGTTTATTAGTTAGGTAATTTCCAGGGCAAGGGTTCACTTTGCATCGATCAGAGGGAGTGCAGATAGTGCAAAGGCAATAGGGTGTTCTTGCAGAGTACATTTTTACTCCTCCAAGAGGTGAAGATGTTGGCAATCTAGCCTTAGGAAAGGATTGCAGTTACACTAACAGGGGAAAGGCAAGCAATGAAATAAAAGGATGATTGGAGGTAGTGTCTTACCTTCCATTGTGGTCAGCATCCCAGTTCCCCCTGGTGCCCAGATGTGCACATGAAACGAAGAGAGAAGTTGTCTTTTTGTGGAGCTTTTGAATTTTTTCTTTTTTTTTTCTCTCCTCCTTTAAATTAATTTCTGTAGGTACTTCTTCAGAAAACTCCCTATATTTTGCCATAGCAATACTTTTTCCAGGTTTTAGAAACAGTCTTTTACGCATATTTTTTAGTCTGAACAAAAAGCTAGTGAAAAACATGAAAGTCAAAATCTTAATTTCTCTCATAAAACTAATTTTCCCTCTGTTTTACTTGGACTGTAACTTTATTTAGGTTTGTTTACTTTTTTTTTTTTGCATTTCATTTCAGATCAAAGTCTTGGATAACCCCTCAGGTGTCTTTCATTTCATGCAGTGTCTTGCCTTGCTTATGTCTCCTGTCAAGTAAGTATGAATATGATTTTATAAATATGTTCCGTTTGTTTAAGAGTAGAAAATATAACACAAGATGTACTTGTAAAACCCTGAAAGTTTGTTGCAGGCAAAGTCATGAAAGCAAGTATAAATTAGAGATTCATGTTTGATTCAAACTCCTTTTACTCATTCGTTTTGAAATACAGCCTTTATTTTAGCTGTCAAATAGCTTCTGAAGGCTGCCATGCCCACGTGTTTTGTTACTGTGATTTCTGAAATAAAGTTCTTGCCTTGCACGGTGGCCTGTTCATTAAACTGTCTCTGCAACAGAAGTCCTTGAGTAATGGGCTTGTGAAGTTGGTGTATAAGCCTTGGCCACCTGGGCACACTGCTGACTTCTGTTCAGCTGGCTGTTGACCAGGGTCCCCAGGTCCTTTTCTGCCAGGCAGCTTTGTGACATACTTGTTTAATTTCTTGTTCTTGTATTTTTTTTTAATAACTTCTCTTAACCAAAAGGTGACTTAATGCATAATTTTTAATTTTCTAATTTTTGTAAACTTCATTTTTCACTTTAAATCAGAAATCGGGGGGACTTCATGTGCCATATGAAACCGAGTGAAAGGAAAAGTTCCTCTTCATCTGGGAAAGAATCTGGAAACTGGACCCTGGTAGATGAAGGAGGAGAAGAGGTACAGTGAATGACTTCTTTTTTTTGTCTTTGTGCTTTTGCTCAAGATTGTAGTATTGATTTTGTGAAATGGAGAAAGAAAAACTGATGTTCCGTTAAAAATAATTATTCCAAACTTAGATGTATTTTACTCTCCTTTTATCTCTGTGATATAACTGTAGGTAGTGGAGCTTCCAGGAGCGAGTATTAACAGACAGAATTTAAACATTTGAGCTATTGCATGCAAGAGGAGCGTGGAAGTGGACATGTTTGAATAGCTGCTTCCCTTCAGAAGCTGGCTGGACTGACATAGCGTTGCCTCTAGTTCTGTTTCCTGGCTGATGAGGGCTTTCATGTAGAAACACAGAAGAGGAATTTGGGAGTGGTGTGTCAAGGAGAGTTCATTTGTACTTTCTTTGTTTCCCTCTTACAAGCAAACTGCAATTAGTGTGATAGCGAAGCCCTTCTACCATGTGTTTTGTTGTAAATCTACTAAAACCGCCTGTATTTGTCTATAGGATGAGGATCCTGAGACAACCTGGATTCTGCTTTCGGAAGAAGACTTGATTTCTCTGTTGTCACAGTTTCCATTTTATGAACTCTTTCAGCAGTTCCTTGGATTTAAGTCTGGAGGTAAATCAGCTGCTTATTAGTTGAAAAATTACAGCAATACTGGCATGCAAAATGTTAGAGTCCTTTCCCTGAGTTTTGGTCTGCTCGGTAGTTATACTCACAGATGTGCTTTCAGAACTAATTTTTCTCCTTTGCCTCTTAGCTGTAACGTTACTGTCCTTTTTTTACAATTATGTATTAATTCTTTATTTTGCTAAATCTCTGGACGTATATGTGAGGATAATTGCTTGCTAGAGGTCTTACAACCTGCATGGTTTATTTCTGCTTTCATACTTAATAGGTATTTATTGCTCATTTCATAACAAAACATAAATTTCAGTTCAGTATAACTAATGTTTGCCAGCTCTATGGTGAATTGTTACTTTGAGTGCTTGTTAAGTTGCTTAAAAAATCCAGATTCGCACTTTTTTTTGAGACTTCTTTTTTTGTCTCGGTCTTAGGTGCTTATTTTCCTGAAAAAACAACTCCTCAGGAGATGATGAAGATTTTTGCTTTTGCAAACTCATTAGTGGAACTTCTCTCTGTGGGGTTAGAAACATTTAACAGAGCACGGTACCGACAGTTTGTCAAGCGAATTGGTCAGCTGATCAAGTAAGAGAATATCTTCTTTGTGATATGATTAAATCTTTTCCATACAGTTTGATTTAAAGCTCAGAGCTGCCAAAACCCCCAGCAAACCTCCAAACAAACAAATAAGACAAACCCCACCAAACAAAACAACAGAACAAAAAAACCCCACCAAACGAAAAAAAACAGAACAAAAAAACCTGAACAGTTCTTGGGTAGATTTTGCTCTGAGAGTTAGTTTAGGGTTAGTTGATCTGGGAATCTGAAATCCCAGAGTTGTTAACTCTAAAGCTGCCTGTGAAATGGGAAATTGCTGAGTTTAGCCTGGAGATGAGAAGATTGAGAGGAGATCTAATCAATGTATACAAATATATAAAGGGAGAGTCGCAAGAGGATGGGGCCAGACTATTTTCAGTGGAAATCTCTGGAAACCAGAGGTTGAACTTGTCTCTTGTGAGTAGATTCTGATCTAGTCTGTGGTTTTTATATGGTGATGACTTACTTAATGATGCTTCTTTGACTTGTTTGCTCTGCTGTGTAGGATGACACTTTGTCATGTGAGTGACCACTGGGCCCAGTACATCAGCAGCAATAAACAATATGGATCCGTAGCGCATCCCTACTCTCTGGAAAAATTGCAACTGGAGTTCGATGAGCTGTTTTTCAGAGCTGTTCTACATGTTCTGAAGGCAAAAAGGTAGGCTGTCTAATATTATTGATCCTGACTTCATGTTGGAGGAGTTAGATATTTGAAACTGGGAACTGCAGAAGCTTTAAAGACTTAATGGTTTAAACAAGACTGCAATATGCAGGATATTTCGGCATATTCAGTCTATAAGAGGGGAGGGAGTTATGCCTTGAATCTAGCACCTGTCAGAAGCTCTGGGGGCTTGTTCAGTTCAGAATGAGGTTAACTCAGAATTTGAGATGCTAAGATAATATCCTCACAGTTCTAATTCTGTTCTGTGGCAGAGATGTGGGCATATGTCTCCTTTTTTCAAATGTTGGGATTTATCAAGATGAATCTGTTTCTATCTGTCTCTTCAAATCCGACAGGTTGGGAGTCTGGTTGTTCATGTCCGAGATGCCTTATGGAACGTTATCCAGCAACATGCTTTGGAGGCTCTTCTTTGTCATGCACTGTGCGGAGAGCGAGCACCTGGAAAAGCTCTGCTCTGCTCTGCAACCTGCTGACTGCAAACAAAGACTCAAAGGTAGAATTCTTTCACTCAGAACCAGTTCTCAAAGATTCAGCTACTGCTGCATCAGCTATGGGTTTAATTCTTTGCAGGTTTCATTGTTAAATGGACCCTCAGCAGCAATATGGCTGGTCCAGGGGCCTCAGAAGTGTTTCGGGCAATTCACAGCCTTCCAGTACTTGTTTAACCAAACTCTTATTTTAACAGAAACTTTTGTATTTACGATCCTTTTAGTTTTTTCTCTGACTGGTACTGGCTGCTTCAGAGAGCTGCAGAAGTGCCACGCAGTAGGTACATCTTGTGTATCTTGCATCAGATTCCATCTTGACCTTTGATAGTATTTGGAAAGTGAGATTTAAATCCTCAGACAAAGAATATTGTGTCATTAAGGTTTTTTTCTTTTTGTGAGCTGTTGATGTTCCACCCCACCCTAAATTTCTAGTTTTGGCTTCAGTAACTTATATTGTGGGGTACCTGCTTATGTTCCACAACTACAGATATTTTCCCTATCTCAAGCCTTCTTCTGATGCTTTTCTTGTCCTATATGCCACATTTTCTTTCTGTTTTCCCTTGACTTCTGTCCTGTGTTATCTCCACAGTGATTGCAGTGGCTTCAGCTATAGCACAGTTATTTAGAAGCCAGCTGGAATGCTGCTTTCCCTTTGCTGCCTTCTTCATGGAAAATATTTCAGGACTTTGTTTACCTGCCTCCTTGTCAATCGAGGAGTAACTCCCTACTTTACAGCCTCTTTGCTGTCTTCAGGGAGAGCAAATCTCACTCTGTCAGTTCTACTTTTCAGCTAGCTGGTAGCTCAGATAGCTGTTACCACATCAACCAAGTCTTTTGATGGAGAAGCAGAAGAAAACGGCAATCTTGAGAGGTTACTGAATGTCTTGACTCTTTGCAAGCTCAGCTAACATTAAAGAAAATTTATGCAGAGTGGGAGAGGGATATCAAGACTGTAGCTGTGTGCCTTTATGAAGTGCTGATCTAATTAGCACTAACTAGCCAAAACAGTAGCAGTTACGCTGTTTCAGTAGGGCTTCTTAATTTTTGTTTCTATAAGACATTTTAACTGCATCTCAGACAAAGAGAATGTAATATGATGTGGTGGGTTGTTGCAGCTCTGACGGTAACAAACACTGAATTTTTTTTGTTTTGTTCAGGCTTTGTTTTGCTTCCAGCTAACTTCTGTGTTTCAAAGTCTCTGGTATGCTGATGCAGGATATTTTTATTCTCTTCATTCTTCTCAATGGGTTATGTCAGCACAATACTATTTTCCATAAGTGTCTAGACAGGGAATATCAAGAGTTCTTTCAGTAAAATCCATCTGATCTTTTGAAATAGCTTCTTTTGACTGACACTTGCCAATATCATGCTGACGTAATTTCCTGTAATTCATACCCTAGAAAACCATGGCATTAACATTCTCTTGGGCAATAACATTTTTCATTGATTTCCCTTCCCAAATTAAGTGTGAGAAATGTTAAGAGTAAATGTTATCTGCAGGTGGTAGCCAGCCTTTGGTAATTGATGGAAGCTTTAGGCTTGTACGTATAGAGGTGGGAGCACAGTCGCTTTTAAGGGATAGGTAGCAGATAAAACAGAGTGCAGTGATGGAGCTGCACTTCCTAGGATGACCTCTGGAGTATGAGAGCTACCAGATATAAAATAAACCTCTGGGGAAATATGGAATAACCTAGTAACTTCTTGATGTTTCACACCTGTGTGAGTACAAACGTGTTCTCTGTAAGTTTATTAATACAGGATTGACAGTTTTGTCTTTGCTTCCATTGCAATTGGCAGTGAGAACCCAATGAACAACATTTCTACTTACAGTTTCTTTACTGCCACTATCAAGATTTGAGGAGACACTGATATTTAGGGTCTCTCTGAACTTGTGATGTGATCAGATGTGCAGAGGAGGAAGGGAATTGGCTCCAGTACCCACTGGGTGATGAAGATATCATTGCGCCACTGTGAGATGACAGGATTTAGGTGGGGTCTTTCTTCTCTTTTTCATTGTCTCCATCCTTCAGTCCCAAGCTATGGCTCAGTGTGAGTTTGAGTTTGGTGTGGGGTCTTCAGATGATCCCAGGTATGGTGAAGAGGAAGATGCAGCTGCAGCAGGAAGCTAGGAGACGGCAGAGCTGTGACTTGCAGCGGAGAAGGTGTAGTGCGCATGTGCTCAGTAGCTGGTTCCAGCCCTCTTCCTTCTGCTTATGGTCTTTGTCCTTGACTTTACCAGATCCCTTTTTTCTCTTCTCTCCCCTTCCAGTTATATCTGTGATGGAAGCTAATGGCTTAGTCTTTTTTTTTTTTGTGCTTCTGCATTACCTTAAGAAAACCCCCAAACACCAACAAAATACACAGTGCTGTGTAACTTCTGGTATAAGGATAAAAGGTAGCATTAAGAAAGGGAGATGAATGGATGGGACATCCCCTGTATGTCTCTTGTATCTATCAGCAATGTGATTTCTCTTACTGTATGGAAAAACTCTTTTTTTAAGTTGCACAATCCTCTAGCATGCTGTTCATGAGATGTTTTGGCTGTACAAACCTGACCTTCTCAGGTTGAAGCAAAATTTTTGAAAGTCCTTAAAATAGAGCATAACCTAAGTGGAAGCGTTTAATCACAAGGACACTGAGCACGTGCCTGTGCAGATTAAGTAGCTGAGTGCTACAATGAGTACTTTTTCAGTGTATTCAGCTGCTATGACAAGATTATAAACAGTTTTTACTGGCATGTTATGCCTAAGAGGAAGCAGGCTACTCCAAAGCATTTTACAGCTCAAATGCAGCTTTCAGTGCTTGTTTTGCTGCACAGACTCTTATTCAGAGTTATTTAGAATAAATAAAAATTATTTTAAAGTCCTCTTCAGGTTTCTTTGTACCCTTCCTTTCCTGTTATCCCCCACCCTGAGGAATGAAATGGTTCGTTTGCATTTGGAAACATGTCACTCTTAGGTTTAAAGAGGAAACCTGTCTTGAATTCAAGTGAAAGCATCTCTTAGCCTTCCTGTCCTGTGCAACTTCAGTTCCCTGTTTTCAGACATTTACCAAACAAGTGCATTCAGTAATTTTCTTGAATTGACTTTGAGAAACCTCTCTGCTATGCTTGGATGGACTTAGTTTTAATCTTCTCTTGAATGTGTGCTGATTAAAACTAGAATCCTTTCATATAATTTGGACATGATCTGTAGAATTAGTTGCTCCGGTGTGTAATGGAAGCCCAACCATGCTAACCATTTTTAAAAAGCAAAAACATTCAAGGAATTCTTCCTGTGGATAATTGACATTGCGTAGTTAAATAATATTGCAAATTGAATTCTAGCTGTTCTTGAAGCAGTTTTAGCTTTCATTATGAATTCCTAGCATACTTACTGAATCATGCAGACTGACTACATATTATGGTGTTTCTTGCACCTTATTTTAAAGCCATGTTGATAAATGTGTGTATATATTGATGAGGTATGTCCTATAACACTTCTTTTATCATGTTTCTTTCCTGTGACCTTTTTCTAGACCCAGAGCACTTTGAAAATTTTGAAAAGTATCTCAAATCAATGAACTGCTTGGAAGAAATTTGTCTCCTCACCACATTTGCTCAGATGGCACAAACCAAACGGGCCGATGTCGATGAAGATTTTATCAAAATCATTGTTCTGGAGATATATGAGGTGAGTAATATTACTGTAAAAGAATGAATGTCCTCTTTTCCTTTTTGACAGTGGAAGGAATGAAACATTCGTGGCTTCTGTAGTTTGTCCTGGCATGGAACTAAGAAAGTGCTACTTCTGAGGTTGATAATCTAGTACTGAATTAAAATGTCCTGAAGTTCATGACTTTCTGGGAGAAAGAACAGCATGTTGGTAGACCAAGCCAGAATGAAACAACTGAACAAAAATATCTTTGTTTTGCTTTATTTTTCCCACACAGGTCTAACTTGTAGCCCTGAAATTCCCTGTGTGGTGTGGTTTTTTTTTTGTTGTGATGTGTAGCTTTTGTGTGGTGTTGTGTGTGTTGTGTTTTTTTTTTTGGTTTTTTTTGTGTGTGTGTGTGGAGTGGTGGTGTTCCCGTGGTTAGTTTTGTACTTTGTTCTTGGCACAGTGACGTAATAATTTCGTTATCTTATAGGTCATTCGTTTTCAGTTTTATTGGCATTTATCAACCTCATTCTTCGGGATCACCAAGAGCAATTTGGTTCTGTATTTTCCAAAAGATATTTTATTGCGGTGTTGGTGAAGGTCAGCCATAACCAGTAACTTCTCTCTTCTCAGGTGTCTTATGTTAGTCTTGCCACAAGAGAGACATTTTCAAAAGTTGGTCGAGAACTCTTGGGAGCAATTGCCAGCATCCATACACAGATTATTTCTGTACTGCTGGATCGAATTAGAGAGACCATTGAGAAAGTTGGGATGGTAAGTGCTAACTCCCATAATTTAAAGCAGGCACCTGGTTGAAACTAGAGGCTGTACCAGACTGTGTTATAAGATACAACTTGGTACGAATGGATCATATTGAAGTCCTGTCCATGTTTTTTTGATCATGTCACCCTTTAAGACAGAAGGACGTAATGCTGATTGTTGTTCCATGCTGAGTACTGATTGACCTTTTTCTTTTCTGCCCTCAAAGGTTTCTTTATATCTGTTTAAAGAACTGCCGTTGTACCTGTGGAAGCCTTCTTCGTCTGAGATAGCACTGATTCGTGACTGGTTATTAAATTACAGTCTAACGACAGTGGAGAATAAACTAGCCTGCATTATCTTGGAAGGGCTAAACTGGGGATTTGGTGAGCATGTATGTATTAAAAACAGGAGGCCTGAACCTGGTCAGTTTTCCAGAGCAAAAGTATTTACTTGGGAATATAACTGAATCTGAAAATGGTTCATTACGTGCTTTTTATATAATGGCTGTACACTTGATGGCATAGGATGGGAACTTCACAGTAATTTTGTAGCATTCTGCCTGAGGATTTGCTTGTGTTGCTTTGTTGTAGTGCTGTAGCTGAGATTATGAGAGATATTTAAGCAGGAGTTTCCTCTCTCTAAACAAGAGGAAACTGCTGACAGGACAGTTTTTATGAGTCGCTTGATGAAGATGTCTGTGGCTGCAGAAATAGAGGAATCCTCCAAGAAGTGTGTATGAGACTGGTGTGACTGTAGTTTGCAGGATGGTATCCAAGTATGTTTTTCACAATGCAAAAAAAAACCAACTTGAAATTAGCATTATTTAAATGATTGGAAAATGTTCTATAGAATGGGTTACTCCAGGATCTCCATTGGTTCAGGATCCAATTGAAGGCAAATGTTTTTTCAGAGACAAACAGAAATTAGATTGGGGAAAAATCCTGTTGTCTCTGTTCAGCGATTCATTTCAACATTGTGATCTCTGCGTTTGATGGTACTGAACTCTTCTCTTGGCTGAGCTAATACTTGTACATGAGGATTGCCTTGCTTTTTCTCCCTGTTCCTTGGTGACACGTGAAAACAAAGGAATGATAGGGAAAATTAACTGGGAGGTCTTTGCTGTGCAATCATAGTGACATATCTGTACCCTTTGATATGGGGAAATTTTTTTTTTTAATGTGGCAATTGATAAGAGGAATTACTGTGTTATGATACAAAAAACATGATATGCTTTTTGGTTTGGTTTTTAAAGGTAGGATTTCCTGTGTCTGTACTGTGTCATCTATGGATCTTTAGATTAATTGCTGTAAATCCACCAAATTCACATGAGAAGTGATTATGTTCACTTTTTTTCTGGAAATAATCTAGCTGTTGAGCTTTGTATTGCCCAGTGTGAATTCATTATTCTTTAACATTGGACTGAAATTTTTCTTACTGGCCAAGGTTTTGCCTAACTATTACAATACTTCATCTCTTTCTGTCTGTTCAAATTAAGATTTATTTCTCTGTAGTGCAACTGAGTGATACAGTTGTAGAGACCTTTTCAGTGAGGGGACATTTTGTGATATGATTCTGTTTCTAGCAGGATGCTCTTCATCTGGATCCAGCTGTCCATTCTGAAGTTGCGTTGATGGTCCTGGAAGCATATCAGAAATATCTCTCCCAGAAACCATATGCTGGTCTGCTTTCTGAAAGCATAAAACAGGTATTCCTTACGAATTTCAGGGAATAGCTTATTAATAGCGAGAGGTAGGAAAAACTTCAGGTCAGGACCTTGTTTTCGTCTTTTCTTTTTAAAAGCTGGGCTATCTTCATACTACTAGAACATCATAATATACCAGCTTATGGTATTTTTGTACCCACAGACCTATTTGAAGATACTGTTAGACTCGCATTGAACATCTATATGAGAAATAGAAATTTTAAATTTTTCGCCCTTTTAGGTTTATATTATTATCCAGCCTGTAGCTGGATAGTTGCAAACTGTTCTTGCAAAGCATCCTTTACTCATGAGGAGTTGGACAGTTATTTGCTTAACGAGAGGCTGCTTACTACTGGTGAACATAAGAGTCATCCTTCCTGTGTCTCCAGTGTATAGTTTTGCACTATTTAAAAACTCAAGATTTTATGAGCTTTTCAGTAGTGATCAGTGCTGTGTTACTTGAACACCCTACAGACATTTATGACATTGATTTTACAGCACACTGGTGACTGAGGAAGGTAAGGCTCCCAAGTTACAGAAGGGGACTGGCAGGATAGAAAGATCAAGGTTAAAAATCCCTTTTTTGGATATTCAATCCAAGATGCTTCTATTTATTTAGTCAGAACTTTTAGCATTGTGTTGTGCTTTGTCTTCTCAGTATTCCTTGTACAATGCTTTCTCCTCCCCTCTTCTGCTGTGCTTTTTTCCCCAGTCTTTTCTTCCCATGCTCTGAATTGTTCCGTATTTTCTCTGCTCTTTTCTGACTTGCATCTATGCACTACTTAACCATAGTTTGTTGTCTTGTGCCAGCTGGATGAGTTCTCTTTTTAAGCCTATTTCAGCCGTGGTTGCCATTTGTATTGGTGAATCTGTCCTGACTTGCATGAGCTTGTAGCTGGAACTTGAGAGAAGGTGCTTAGGTTCTTGTACCACCAGTCAGAGAGGATGAAGTGTCTGCATTGACTCCCAGCTCTGCAATTTACACTGGTCTGTCAGAGTATCTACAATATTTTTTCCCAAAGATTTATAATTCCTTTGATCTAGACAGGGTCTTTGTGGTAATGGACGCATGTACATGACACAGAGACTCTGCTTGTCCAGTTTACAGACTTCTTTCTAAGGAGACGCTGCCAAGTTTCAGGCTTTGTATTGACAAATGTTACTTTTGTGTGTATATTTTTTGTTTTCCTTCCACTAGCAGTCTTAAACAAATTTAATCCAAGATCAGCATCTAGTGTGGAGAACTTTAGCCCAACTGTATAGCTTGATAGCCTTTACCAAAAGGGATTTTAGATAAACTTAATTGATGGTGCTACGTGATGTGTCTGACAAGTAACTACTGTTGCTCTGATCTAGTGTCATGGTATCGTGACAGAAGAGGAAGCTCCTCCAAGCTGACCCAAGTCCTAGGCTAGTGCCACACGTGCTGGATTATGGCTGTGCTTCCTCTCATTCCTGTACCTGCTGCTTTCTTCCAGGTCTCCTACTTAGCCAGCATTGTTCGTTACGGAGAAACGCCAGAGACTTCCTTTAATCAGTGGGCATGGGGTTTGATTTTGAGGTTAAAGCTTCACAGAAATGACCGTGGCATGCAGCACGGCTGGCCTGCAGTCCCAGTGTCTGACAGTGTGCTCGACATGACGGAGTCAGTCACGCTTCACCCCCTCCTGAAGGCTGTTAAAGCAAACGTCCCCATCGGCTGTTACCTGGCACTGGCAATGACCACACTAGGTCACAGGTAAGTGTCCTTTTTTGTGTTTTTCTTGGATGGATGGCCCCAGTAACATACCTAATGATGAACTGAGGGCTTTAACATCTTTATACACGTTTAAAGAATAAAAGACTTCTGATGCAAGGGATTGAGCAGGGACTGTAGTTTCAAACAGCATACCATTTCCTTTATATTGCTAATACTATTTTTTGCCTTCTGCATGTTACGGTCAAAATAGTATTGAAACTGAGAGGTTAGCATGATTGCAATGGACAGGAATAACTTTTAACCACACTTACAGAATGGGTTGTTCTACAGGTGACTTTTTTAGCAGGGCTGCAGCAAAGCGCTCAGAAAATAGGAAAAAAACCACTCATGCTGCTAATAACATTGATACTGAACCTCCTAGCTCTGACTGTGTTCCAACACAGTCTTTACTGTGGCATAATCAAATATATCAGTTGATTAAAGTACAGAGCCAGGCGTTGATTAATCGATTTCTTCCAGGTCTGTTTCCCTTGAATCTGTCGTTTCTTTATCTCTCACTCATGTTCAAAATTTTGACTAACTTGTTTTCTGCTTTACTCTTTAAAGAGTAATTGTCTTGGCTTTCCTTTCCTTCCCCCAGTAATTGCTCGATGCTGAGGTTATGCTGTAGATGCATACATGCTTCTGGTTTGAGAGTGGAAGTTTTTATGTCACTTTGAGCACGGAATGAAAAACAAGGAACCTCTTTACTTCTGAGCAGGAGTTTTTTCCCCCCAAACACTCTGTCTTTGTGAAGAACCGTTTGGTATCCATCTCCTGTCTAAACAGTAGCACTGATCTTTATCACACGCAAAAATGCAAGGCTGGTTATGTTAATGAGCAGAAGAAACAAAGCGCTGTACTGTATGCTAGTGACTTAATACAATATTTAATTTTCATGAACGGAGAGTAGACATAGGATTAATGTTTGACATCTTTTCCTAATGTGCAACCTGCCTCAGTTAGCAAAATGTGATGCAATGTACCAAATAAGTTGCTGCTAGTGAGTTTTCTGGACAGTAAGAGCAGGGTTCATCCCAACTGATGGCAACCATCTGTTTTTAACCCTCTGAGCTCCATCTATAGGTAGTGAAGAAAGATATGCAGAGCATCATCCATCCTGAAGAGATGTCAAAGCTAGGTAATACAAAACTCCCACTATATGTGCTTCCTTTGCCTGGAGAAGGAGGCTAATTGCCTAGGTTAGGCAAGAACCTTGAGCTTTAAATTGATTGAAACTTGATAGATGAAGACCCCCATCTCCAGTGACTTCTGCAAGATGGAATACAACCCCCTAGAAGGGCAGGAAATACTAAATCTGTCAGCAATCGAATGACTCCTGCAGCTGAAGAAAAAACTCTGTGGATTTAGCTGTTTAGGATTTCAGAGAACATGTGTGAAGATATGAATGTCTCTACATCTCAGTTACCAAAAAAAAAGTCAACACCCATGTCCCTTTCTACTGATAGTTATTGTGGCTTTCCTTATTTTGTTTTTGTTTTGACAGCATTGAGAAGTTCTGTGCTGAAGGGATCCCTCTTTTGGGTGTACTCGTCCAGTCTAGGTATCTGAGAACAGTAGTCCACGTGCTGGATAAAATTTTACCCTTATTTTACTCTTGCCAGTATTATCTCCTGAAGAATGAACAGTAAGCATTGTATGTTCCTAATACCTTTATTGGTGAAGAGCAATGAAAGTTAGTCTTGATTGTTAAATTTATCAGGCTTCATTCTGGGTTTTGCATCCAGTGAGAATGTGACACAGGTGATGGGGAGGTGTGTCTGGTTTGTTTGCCGAGTTACTTTTTGGGGCTGACTATTGTTGAGGAAGTAGTTGTAGAAGTGGCTCCTACTGACCTCAGTGTCTGTCCTGATAAATTAGTAGTGTGGTTCCTGCAGCGTTTTTGGCTTGGACCACCTGGCAGTCTCCCAAACCATCTAGATTTGGGTGCTGATGAGGATCAAGAACTGTATTCAGTCCTGATGAGCTGCCTGGAATTACAGTCTGCTGTGAACTGCTCATACTGTGCCTATGGCAGAGTTAAAATGGAACAGTTAAATCTGCAGCATGGTTTTGAATCAAAAGCCTTGTATTTGGGTGTCAACCAGTGCTGTTGAGTGGTTTTAAATTCTCTAGAAGCGGGTTTTCTGTGTATTCTGCTGTATGAGAAATTTTAGAATTAATTTAATTTCTTGATGTCTGTAGGTTTTTAGCTTATGTTCAACTGTTCCTTCATCTGGATAGCGGAGTCCCTCAAGGCGTGACCCAGCAGGTTACACATAAAGTAACACAGCATTTGACAGGAGTGAACTATGGAGAAAATGTTAAGCTGCTCAGTAGTATGATACAGGTAAGATTATTCTCGTCTAAAAGCATCAATGTTCATCAGTGAAAAAAAAAAAAAAAAGAGAGGGAGGAGGTTTTTTAAAAATAAGTAGGCTTTTTTTTTGACTGAGTGCTTAAGGTTAGAAGGGATACTGAAGCTGGCACTTCTGTAACCATGGAGTACCCTGCATCAAGCACGAATAGTTGGGTTTGATTTCCTGAAATACTTCAGGAATAATGATATGTGCCTTCCAGACTTCTTGGATGATGAAAATGGATTTTTCTAATAGCAGGTCAAAGCTCTGCCTAAAAAGGGAATGTGGTAGACAGCCCTACTTTCTCACTTGTGTTAGTTGAGGAATGCAGCAGATATATTAATGTTTGAAAGCTTTGCTTTTGACCATTATTTTATGGCTGTGCTATGGAAAAATGTTACTGTGTTAGGAAAATGTAATTTTTTTTGTAAGTGCAGAGAGGTTGAGAATGAAGGCCACTGAAATTAAGAGAAGAGTTAAGGACTAAAGGGAAACATACCTTCTCTGGGAGGTCCTTTTGCAGGCACAGCAGACTATACTTTAGAAAGAGGTGCCATTTGTACCTGTGGGTCACAGGGGCTCCTGCTTATGGCCCTGGAGTCTGTTTTTGCTCATGCACACGATGCTTAGAATCTCTTTTGGAGGTGGGAAATTATAAAGCCGTTTTTACATAGGCATGGAGAGCATCATCTTAACTTGTGGGTCTATCCTTAAAATAATTTAAACAGTTCTTCAATATATTCTTATCCTTTCATTGAAGCTGCAATCTCCTGAATAATTCTGCCCTTCAATTTGTCAGACTCACATTTTTCTAAGTGACCGGCCAAACGGAGTGGGACCGGCTGCGGTACTGGAGTTCTGGGCTCAGGTCCTCACCAGCCAGCAGCTGTGGCACAGGGACCAGGCGACTCTCTTCTTGCTGGATGACTTGTGTAGAGCTGCGTTTCAGTACAGTCAAGAGGACTGCGTACAAAAGCTGCTTTACCAACAGCACAAGGTAAATGGATGCGGTATAATGGTGTGGCTGGTGAGTAAATGGCCGGTTCGTGTGTTTTTCGTTCTAATTCTGTGTTTTCCTGAAATGTAACAAAAACAGTCCTGATTGAGTGATAATGGGGTTATCTGGTTTGTTTCTGAGTAGATCAAGATTAGTAAAATATTTGGTATTTGAAGAATAATAAGAATTCAAATCTATTTGGAACACAGGTTTCATTAATGAGTTCTATCAGAGTATTTTAGTTTGTGGTCTTTGCATTTTTAAATGTTTGATAGTGTATTTAGAACAAAAAGAGAGCATCCTCTCCCAAAAAAGAAATAGAGTACAAGCTGGCATTTCAGTGGCAGCGGGTTGAGCTGAGGTTGGGAAGTAGCAACGTGAGGCAAAAAGGAACGTGGATGAAGGTAGAGTGACATACCTGTACCTTGTAAATCATCTGTTAGGCTGCTTACAAAAAAAAACCAAAGCCAAATGTTTTCTGTTTCCATGCAGAATGCTTTGGGCTATCATTGTGACAAGGGTCTGCTGTCTTCGCTTGTTAGCTGGATTGTGGCAGGCAATGCGACACCTTCCTTTGTGGAGGGCAATGCCAGTTCCTCTCAGGTGAGTGGTATGATGGTGTTCCATGAAGAACTCTGGAATAAACGATATACAGATGTTTAGGTTTTTTTTTCTGCTTTTGCAGAAAGCAAATCCTATCCCTGTGTTTGTGAGGTTTTTTCTGATAAATTCCTAATTTAACCTTAAGAGAATGCTGTGGGTTTATTTCGCTGAAGGGAGCATGGATGTTTTGTACAGAAGAAGTTTGATCTGTGACCAAGAATTCATATAATAGGATTTATTAGTAAAGATTTATTTTAATCTTCAGTTGTTCTCAGTATACTTAATGAGAGAAAATATGTAAAGCCTGACTCTTGTATTAGATCAGTCTTTTTCTGATAAATATTTTGAATGTCAGTTGCTTTCTCTCTGCTTAAGCAAGTTCCTCATTAGAGCAAAAAGAAAAAAAATCCTACAGAACCACAACTGGAGATCTGTAGAGCAGAGATCTTATTTTAGAGGGTTTGAGTAGGTTGTTTCCTCCAGAACTCTCTGGATAATTCTGTTAGTTGTCCCTGGTTTCCCCCCTTCTTTCCCAAGATTGTACAGAATACAAAGAGCATTTTGGAATGTAGGTAAGGAGGAAACTGCTTCTCAGTTACCTTGTTGAAATATGATAATGCTTTTGCAAGTTTGTAATGAGAACCTGGCAAAGACATGTTTCTCTTAAGAAAACAGAAAGCTTCCTGATGCCACTTTGTCATCAGAGTTTCTGTTGTGACTGTTTTTATAGGTCTGGTTTTCCTGGGTGGTGTTAAATATGGAGTCAATATTTGAAGAAGATTCGCAGCTTCGAAGAGTTGTGGAAAGGGAGTTGGTTCTTAATGCTTTAACTCCTGATCAAGCTTTGAAGGTGAGAGAACTGCTTTTGTTAGACACAACTGCTGGAGAAAAGTGTTCTCTTGTATTGTTTAGTGTTTATCTTATGTGTTTTTTCTTACCAGGATAAAAGCATAACTTAATGCTTTATCTGACTTTCCAGGAGACAATATACCTCAGGGAAGTTTTCTGTCACATTTTAAGTTGAACATTTCTAAACTACCATGCAGATATCTGTTTTTTAATATGCCATTATTTACAGAAAACTTCAATCACATCAGTGCTCTTACATGATTTTCTGGGTCATCTGAATGCCTCATGATCTTCAGTGGATTTATTCTATACCACGGAGGTGGGGAATGCAGATACTCTTATTTTACAAATGTGTTGCTATTTCAAAGATCATTTCTCATGTAAAAGTCTGGGGTTTACTTTTCTCACTATTTGCTGAATTATTTTCCAAGACTTTCTGAACTTTTTTTCCTTCTGTATTCTTTCTTCACATCTGTTTTACTTTACATTTTAGACTTTCAGTAGGGCTGTGTGGAGTATAGTCTGGAAAAAGCTAAAAGTAGCGCACTGTAGGATTCTTTGTCCTCACGTGGCTTAAGAATATTATTTTTACTGGTTGGAACGTGTTGGGTGCTTCACTTCTGCTGCTTTGTTTTCTAACAGCAGTGGTCTTACAGAAGTCTAAAGCAGGAACATCTACCTTCCATTCCATAGCCCTTCCATTCATGCTATATTTTTGTTTTTCAGTGTCAGAGGTATATTACTGCTCTTTAACAGCAGAGTTGTCCAACGCAACTGTGAGCTGAGCAGCTCTTACACTAAAGTTGTGTAACAGATGTGTGAATGTTTCCAAAGTTTTCTCCTCCATGATTGCTGACTTTTCACGCTCTGTTAATCTGGTACGTTAAGCTGTTAACAGGGAACTGCAGCAAAACACTTGTCTGAAAATGTTCTTTTTACAGAAAGCACAGACCCAGCTGAAGCTGCCCATCGTACCTTCCCTTCAGAGGCTCATGATTTACCGCTGGGCTCATCAGGCCCTTGCTACTCCCGCTGGTCACCCTCTCATGCCACTGATCTGGCAGAAATTCTTCCTCCTGTACCTTCACCGACCAGGACCACAATATGGGTGAGTCTGATCGTAAGGGCTCTAGCCGATTAGCAAGAACTCAATTTAGCACTCACCCCATAGGGACCTAGGGGTGTTAGTGCCTTCGACACTGTCCCCCACAGTATTCTCCTAGAAAAGCTAGTG